TGCCACAGTGAGAGGGAAAGTGAGAAATCACCCCCAGGGGAAATGGTGACACCACAGTCCTCTCTCCTCCAGTCTCCTTGTGGGATTTTGGGCACACTCACACATGTGCCCATGTGATTTGCAAGCTGCCAGGTCCAGGACTCAAACTGTGGTAGGCCATGTGGAAGTCCAGCGCCTTAATCACTATGCCACCTGCTGGTCCCAACTTCACCCTCTTTTGAGCTCTGGACATTAACTTCAAATTCCCTGTGGTGGCAGAAATACAGAAAACAAAAAAAATCTGTATTTTGCTGTAACATGTGATGGAAGAAAGGCCATTTAAAAGTCAGATCAGTACATATGTACATACATTTTTACAGTTCACAATGTGTACATTGTGAGGAAATAAGGTTAACTGTCTATTTTATGACAGCCAGTTATTTTAACTAGCTAAGAGAAAAATCAATAACTAGATAGATACCAGACAGTGGAACTAGCTAAGTCCAAATCATAGGCTTTATTTCATATGCAAGCCTCCTGGAGAAAAATATTCTAAAGTAGTATTTTAAAACCATCAATTCCATGAGATATTAAGAGGTTTTCCAAAAAGGCCAGGTATATTTTGAAAATCCTAGATACTAATATTATATCAAAAACTTTCTGACTTAAAAGCTTATCATTGTTCCAATAGACCACACAGATTGCTCTTCGGGTAGTCTTTATTTCTCCAAATCTTCAGGGTAATGACTCAGAGCTAACCAAGCAGTTTACATCAAAGGAGAACTCTGATATCAGACCAAACTGATATTTATAGTAGAAGGTGAGTATAGTGGTAACAAAGTTGTAACCATTTAGCGTTTTAACAAAATATGTCTTAAAATACTTAAGATTATTTCAGTTCTTTACTATAATTCCCCTGGAATGCAGAGTTCTCCTTTGATGTATATTTTGAAAACCCTAGATATTAATATTATTCTCTTAGTGATTCACAATCTATACTGTATTGAAGGTTCTAAAATGAACTGAATAACTTTTCTGACCTAGCACTGCTCAAACACAGATGATCATAGAAGCCTTTGTTGTTTTTGTTTGTATTTTTGGGGGAGAGAGAATAAATGATAAGAAACACATGTTAATACTAAAAAATGCAAACTAAATTATATGCAAAAATTCTTCATGACTTTTCCGACAGCCCAATAGTTTCTCCCCTTTCTTACTGCCGTCTAATTAACTTCCCAAAGTGACAGCTGCCAGTAGTATCCACTTTGTGCCAAGCACTCTACCCCATACTTTACAAATTATTTTACCTAGGCTAAGTGGGATTATGAGCTACATATTATACTCCCTATATAAACTGGGGCCGGCAGGTAGCATGGTGGGTAAGGGCGCTGGACTCCCACATGGCTGATTGTGGTTCGAGTCCCATACTTGGTAGCTTTGCTTTCTCACTTTCTCTCTCTCTCTCTTTCTCTCTATCTCTATCTCTTACTCTGGTCAAATTAAAATAAATAAATAAAGTTAAATAAAATAATTCTAGAAAAAACGATAAGCTTAAATTTTTAAAACGAATTGTTAAAAAAATAAAAGATGAGTGAACTAATACTTAAATAAGTCACATAAAAGCCAAGGGTATAAAACTTTTTATATAATAAGATGTATACCCCAATATGACCAACCCAAAGATGCCATACTTTTATAAGCTGTAGATGAACAAGGAGAGTTATTACAACTCTTCAGATACATTTGTGGAAGTCCAACCTGATATTTGTAATAGGAGGTGGAGTAAAGTGATAACATGGTTGTAAGCATTTAGCATTTTAGTAAAACATGTCTTAAAATACTATAGATTATTTCAGTTCTTTACTGTAATTCCCCTGGTGTGCAGAGTTCTCCTTTGATGTAAACGTCTTGATTAGCTCCCAAAGAATCATTATCCTGAAGATTTGGGGAAATAAAGACTACTAATTAAAGAGCCATCTGTGTGGTCTAATGGAACAATCATAAACTTGGAAGTTAGAAAGTCTTTTGCTGATTGACCATGTGCCTTGTTGTTGCCCTGTTCCTTCAAGTCCATCGTATTTTATTTATAACATGTACTACCATTTAGTATTCTCTTCCTCTTTATTTATTTATGGGACCCTCCTATGTCCCCTGCCTTACTCCCAGAGTGAAGGCTCCATAAAAGCAGACAATGTCTGTTGCTCACTGCTGCAGTCTTAAAACCTTAAACAATAACTAGCACAAGAAGCCAGTAAATATTTTGTGAGTGAATGAGAGATTAAATGAAGACATCCCTTGATTAATAGCTCTTAATTAGCATCTATCGGCTTTACAAACCTGGTCTCATACTTATCCTCTATAAACTTATTCCTCATCTTTAAACTGGAAATGCTTACATTGATTTTGAATGACTTAGTTTACCTTTCAACTTTGCCCTTATCATACATCCACCAGCACCCCCCACCCCCCGCCCCACCTTTACTGTCTCGGGATTCTTGAAAAGTCTGGATTCAAAGTAGAAATGTGGATATTTGCTATGTTGATTTAAATTTATTTTGTAAAATTAATATGTTAGGAAATTGCCTTGAAATTTTATCTTTGGTATAAGACTTTTGAATGTCTGATGGACATGTAAAGCATTAACTTTGGTTTTCAAAGAGACGCCAATATCTCACACTTCAACGAAATCCTAATGAAACCAGAAATGAAAGGGTATGAAAAAGAGAAAGGAGGTGAAAGTTAATTGGTTAAAAAACCGTTTTGGAGATATTGGAGATGGGGGAGGATGTATTGTATTTTCTGTTAATCATAGTGTCTTAGGATTGAATTGAACCTAAAAAAACCCTTCAAACTTTATACATTTTCACATAATCTCCAACCTAAATCTCTTTACAGAATCCCATCAAATGAAAATGCAATCCATGCCTGAAATGCCAGTGAGATTATAACAGGGTTTAGATTATATAGGGCTTTAGAGTCCACATAATCTGAGTCTACTACTACAACCTTGGGCATACCATCTTTACACTCTTCATTTGTCCAGTCTACAAATGGATACTACTACTTACTTGTCAAGACTATTGTGAAGCTAAATACCGCATATATAAAAACTTCTAGCATATACTGTATATAACAAAAATATTACTTCCTTTTCTTTGAATGACTCTTTCTTCATCTAGAAGCCTATTTGACAATTCTGAATCCCTTTTGTATATTCACTCTGTCAATTATTTCCCTGTCACCTACAAGTTTGAGCCCACCTTCTTGGGGCTTTATAAAACAAGTGCAATCCTTCTTTTTATTTATGACAGTGCCTGCGCTCAGAAATCCCAAAGGTAAATTCTTACAGAGACCAAGTAGGCAGCATAATTGTGTGGAGTGGCAAGATGTATAAGAAGACTGAGCACTGGCTCACTACCAGTTTGTGGTAGAAACTGATCAAATCTGTGTGCCCATGCTCCATGCAAAAATAGCAGCTGCAACTCAGATTTAATAGATTCTTGTCATTCGACTAATTCAGGGATGTTTCATAACTTCAGTCAGCATTGCATGAGCCAAATTAAGCATGTCTATGGGCTAGATCAGGTTCTAGAGCCAGCAGATTGTAACCTCTGTTTGGACGTGGTAAAAAATTGTCTAACCAGAGCTACCTGGCTAAATGGCACAGCGATTTCATACAGTTGAGCATCCCATGACTGACAGAGCAGATAAGGCTACTCCTATCACCGGGACTTTCTCTGATTCACTCCAAGATACCTGTGAACTCGTAGCATCCCAGATAAACATTATGGTCTCCTTCAACCAATTCTCATGAATCAGATGTTCTACTCTTTTCACCTTTGGTTTATTTATTTATTATTTTTTACCTTTTCTTTCTAACATCATAATTCATCAAAGTAGAAATTATAGAAATCATTTAGAAATACAAATGTGGTCTGACCAGCACAGGATGTAGATTTTTTGCTTTCTTAATTTATTAAAGGGACTTTAATATTGTGTTTTGAGGTCTCATAATAATCAAGGGGTTGATTGCAAGGAAGTCTATTAACCCACTGAAGTACGAAAAATTGTGTGGCTTGTGCAAACATATGCTTTTCTTTTTTGAGTTTTTTGCCATAGAGTGCGTGCATTCACTGGAGAGAGACAAAGACAGAGAGAGGGAAGTGAGAAATCACCCCCTATGGGGATAGCAATGCCTCCATCCCTTTTCCTCTATTCTTCTCTCAGGATTTCGGGCATGCATGCACATGCACCCAGTGTGATTTTCAAGCAGCCAGATCTGGGATTCATACTGCAGTCAGTTGTGTGGGAATCCAGTGCCTTCACCACCACACCACCTGCTAGCCCTATATGCATAACATTTTTAATAAAAAAAAAATAAAGACAGAGAGACAGAAAGCGGGAAATCACCCCTGGGGGGATGGCCACACCACAATCCCTTCTCCTCCATTCTGCTCTTGGGATCTTAGGCATGCACGCACATATGCCCGGCTTGAGTTTAAACCACCAGGTCCAGGACTTGAACCGCAGTCGACTACACAGGAGTTCAGTGACATAGCCATTACACCAACTGCTCCCCTATATGCATAAATTTTAACAGATCTTTAACCAAAGAAAATCTTAAAGATCCAACAGCTACTATACACTGTTTCAATATGTTCCAATTAATATAGTCTATACTGTTAGATTTGGGGAGACAGTCTTATAGTATTGACCAATGCAAAGATTAGTCTATACAAAGAGAAACTTGTTTTTTCATTCATGTCCTTTCATACAAAACTTCATAAGCCCCTGGTTAGGATACTGGTGTAATTACCGATGCAGCACCAACTCAATGAATCCTAATGTAATTAATTTTTGAAATTCAAGTCTCAGAACTAGCATTATTGCATATTCTATTTTATTAGCTAGATACTAAAATCTGTACTGCCATGATCCTAAGACTTAAAAAATACTGTGCTGGAGGATTTAGTTCATATGTATTTACATAAATTTTTCTTTTTTCCCCCCCTTCTCTGTAGGTCGAAAGTTTAAAAAGTTCAATAAAGTCAGAGTCATGAGAGCACTAGATGCTGTTGCCCTCCCACAGGCAGTGGGCATTCCAAATGAAAGCCAAGCCCTAAGCCAGAGAATCACTTTTTCACCAAATCAAGATTTACAGTTGGTCCCCACATTGATCAACCTGTTAATGAGTATTGAGCCGGATGTGATCTATGCAGGACATGACAACACAAAACCTGACACCTCCAGTTCTTTGCTGACGAGTCTTAATCAACTAGGCGAGAGGCAACTGCTTTCAGTAGTAAAGTGGTCTAAATCACTGCCAGGTAATAATCATTTGTATATTATAGCATGCAATAAAAGATAGACTATGTTGTACTAGTAAACTGTTAAATAAAACAGTCTGTGCAGTAAATGAATTATAATGTATATAAAGAACATGGTACAGTATGTGTTTCAGCAGTTCAAAATATTTGTCTAGGGCCCTGCCATGGTCATGGAGATAAAGATGAAGTAGAGAACACATTGAGTCTTGTTGACGGATCAAAAATTACTTGATGAATGAATTCATGCATGAACCTGTTAAGGAATAGCATAAGTTTGTGTCCAACCACAGATATTTATAATAATGGAAAGAAGGCAAACTGAACATCTTCATAAGACTTTCTAGTTCATTCTAAACTCTCATGTAACCAGCCTTAGTTAGTTCAAAATAAAACTGAAGGTGTCTGTTAATATAATAAATCAATATTCAGAGTATAGTGTGAGGTCTAATGTCATGAACAAAAACAACACTCCCAAACAGCAACAAATACATAATTTGGACATATTAAAATGAACCTCCAGGTGGTATTTCCTCTTATGTACACCCAGACAAAGGGGTGTATAACTCAACAATGATAAGAACTTGGATTATATCATCATAAAAAGATTTCAGTCACTTCCGGTCAGCTGTTTTTGCTCTTTCAGCACAGCACTGTAGGAGCCAAGTGGCTATAGAATTATAAAGATGAGAGTCTTTGGTTTATATCATAGACTACATAGCCAAGAGAATGAATGAATATTCATTCATTTATATATATATATATATATAT